GACGAATTAATTGATAATTAATAATTACAATATACAAGCAATCCCAGCGTCTTTATAACTGTCACCTCAAAAATTAAAGTAATTCTGTTATACTTTAACACTACAACTACCAGCATTGATTGCGTACTAAATTAAATTGTGTAATATTGTAATATACATAATATATAATATAATTTAGCATAATACAGTATAATATAAAATGCATACATAGTAAATTACAGCTGAACAGAAATTCCAACTAAGGACATTACATATTATAATTTCAGTAATAGTAAAATAAGGAATCCGTCATTTTGACGGATTTGTTAGTTCTACTGTTAATAATTCAATGATCAGTTTAAAATAATTGTCAGATCAAGAATTTCACATTGAAAATTGTAGTAAAAATATGTTCATTCCAAAGAAAAGTTCACATGATCCATCTGTCTATGAATTAGCAGATAACTAAATTGCGGATGTTTATGGATGTGGGCTGATTTAAGGAAACAGGAATTGAAGAAAAATTTGTTTACTCTATAAATGGATCGGTCAGGTTACAAATAAAACAAAAACGTAATCAAGCTTTATTAAACATTTCACTGAATTTAACTGTTGACAATCATAGGTATATGATATAAATGCATAAAATCCGCAGTTTTTTTATAACAAATACAAGTTACTGTATAATTTAATATCATTTTACCATAAAAATCATATACTAAGGTATTTACATCACTGGTGCTGACTCGAGTCACAGATAACGTTTTGAATTCTCACCCAAGTGATGAAACAGCTCTTTAAATATAAAATCAAATATTTAATCAGTTATGAGTCTTACAATGGAAGTTATCCAAATGTTGAGTAAGTTTTAAAGAAATAATAGTTTGAAATTGTAAAACTCTAAACCCATTAATAACTGTTTTTGACGAGTATACTCGTCATGAGGAAATGATCACTTTTTGGGTAGAGACGAGTATAGGTACTCGTCACATGAAAAAATAAAATAGTATTGTTATAAAAATTGAAAGTTTCGTACAAATTGAAAAACATATTCCTTTTATTCGAATAAAGGAATCAACTGGTATATAAGTACATACCCAAAACAAAATTCCACCGTTGAAGAGTAAAAAGGAAAATTATTTATATCCATTTTCATAGTTACTTAGACAGGCTTTGACGCCATTTTTCCGATCGATACTAAATTCTCCGGGCGAGTGACACTTATTCCAGTTCTTAGGGGGTCAAGTCCTATAATTTACTACCATTATTTGCTCGAAACTACTTTAACATCTGGATAACCTTGCTTGTTACTTAGATAACACAGCGTGAACTCGAGCAGCTCGGAGAAATGAATTTTCCGCTCGCTGTCCTTTCGTTTTTCTTTCTTTACGGGCCATGGAAGTGTCTGCTATCCTCTACTGAAATATCATCGCGAGGCGGGCGAAAGAAACGGTGGATATTTCTACGATTGCAAAAGGGCATTTCTGGTTGGCGGACTCGCGGAGCGGAAAGAGCGAATTACCAGAAGAACGGCTATAATAACCCTTCCCTTTTTCTCGATGATACGTAATTGCCGCCTCAGCACATGAAATAGGATCAACCGTGGATAAAACGGTCTGTCAAACCTCGTGAACGCGTGTGTCCTCTGTTCACGACGTTTGAACTGGTTTAAACGAGGAGGAAAAAACGGAAAATTATAGGAAACCACGAGCTACGGGAGGAGGACAGTAAAAATCGTAATCGTGGAACGTTTGTACAAGACGCGAATTGCGAGAAGTGGAAACTGTAATCGTGAAAAAGATGGCTTGGCGGGATGAATTATTTATCAGGAAGCTTGAATATAATGATACACGTACCGATTACTTTAATCGGTTGAATTGCGACAAAATGGGGTGGATATGAAATTCTTTGTTTTCGGATTAAGCTGTCCTTTGATACACTTTGAATTTCTAGAGTTTTGTAATCTTTCTGGACAAGAAGGAAATCATGATATCACAGATCAGAACTCATGAAATCATTGTCACAACAGATGAAAACTCATGAAAAAGTAGAATGAAATCATTTTGTTTCTTAAAGTAATTGAAGATACTTTTTCAAAATAGTCTTGTTACCTATATGATTACTAATGATGTGTCGAGTATGTGCTGGTTTAATTAATAGTAAATTTTGTTAGACTCAAAGGAGATTGGACGAGAGGGATAGAAGTTAGATATGATTTGGCTCAATACGTTAGATGATGTTATTTGGTGTACCATTAAGCAATCCACAATTTTTTAAATAAATTTGTAATATGGTATATTTTCTGAGAAACAAATTAAATTGTATCGACATAGTGGATTACTAATTGATATATCTAGTAATTAATTCGACCTTGAAGTTCAAAACTATGTAATAGAACCAAAAGTTTATTGTTGTTCAGTAATATAAAAATCATTCGTTATGTAAATTTTTTAATCTGTAATTCAACCTGAATCGTAACTTTAACATGAAAAAAATATTTAATTACAGATAATCATAGTACAAGTGACATAAGTAAACGAGCAAAAATTATTCTCGATAAATAATCTCTATTTTCGGATATAAGCTAGAGGATAAGCACCCTACAAATAGCAATAGAATGACCTGACGCTATTATTAAATCAAACATCACTAACTTTTAAGGTTACTTAAATTTATTGTCAAATATTTTCCTGGAATGTTCGGCATGGTATAAGATTTAATTCGTTATCAGAAAGCCCAGGATTTATACTTTCAGTACCTAGTCTTTGGTTAACATTCCAGTTTCTGTGCAAAGAAAATATTATACTTCCGGTAAGAAATCTGCCAAAAGAGCTGTGTTAAAAACTAAATTTTTTACAAGCTTTACCTTATTTATTTCATCAACGACCTAGTCTCAAATCTCTCGAGTGTATTTCGTTCTAATAAACAATCTGTATGAATTTTATTTAATTATCTGATCTTTCAAATTTGGCACAGACCACCTTAATTACTCCCAAACAAATAAGAATTTATTCGAAAACGCAACCGGGTCAGAATCAATTTCACGTAACCAGTTAAATTACATTTCAATCGAACTCGGCGTCGAGTAGAAATTTCCTGGAAGTTACACGAGAGAGCCTCGAACGAGGAACTGATGGATCGATTCTCTCGATCTCGCGGGGAAAACGTACTGCGAAGGCGTCACGGTGGAAGATCGATCCGGGATTAATGATGCATGCACGTATTCCTCGTAGTTGCGCGAGAGTGCGTGGCGATGGGCCTTTAAAGCGATGTCTACCCGACTTCCTAGTCGATAGCTCGACGTACGACCTCGGTGTCGCTATACGAGACGTCTAACAAATAAGTATGCGTGAAATCTTTCACCCCTTTCTCATGGGAATGCGAGTCTCTCAATGGAAATGCAATTTCTTTGCTCAACTAGTAAGTTTATTAGAATGTTTAGTCGATATTGAAAATTCTCTTTTATACGGTCTGTCCCAAAAGTTTTAAATTGATGTTAAAGCAGCAATATTTCGTATGTTATTCACGTTTTTTATCAGAAATTATTGAATTTGTTCCCTTCTAAAGTGATATATTGTTCACAGGGCCGCTGTCGAGCTTTTGGGAACCTAGACATGTAAATGAAATTCGGGGTTTCTTATATGTATAAACAAGAATGAGAGTTCATATTTTGAATCACAATTTTTGAAGTTGTATTAATTTATATTATTACAGTTTGAAATGATAAAAAAATATAAAATGAAAATAAAAAATCACTAAGTATGAAATTATTTTAAGAAATTAAAAATTTTTGTTTTCTGATTTTGAGGTCTGTAAACTTATTAATAACAGCCTCATAACAAAAAGTTTTTAAAATATTTTTTTTGTATACAGTGTCGCCAATGCATTGAGCTTTTGTTCGGAAAGAGTACTACGTAAATAATTTTTTTACCATTTTCTGTACGGAAAATGAAAATTCTCGAAACGAGAGTTCATGTGAACTCACTGCGATGCCGCGACGTAAATATTTTGCCTCCATATTATTCTTACAAATTTTGTTAATTAAATTTAGAGGTCGAGGCCAGCGAATTTATTAATTTCATTCAGTAATGACAAACACCTTTATGTGGATCCCTCTTTTCTGCGGGCCCTAGGCATGTGCTTATTTTGCCTAATGGTAAACGCGGCCCCGCTTGTTCATGATAATTATACAAACACTGGAAACAACTCTGGTAATACTTCAAGATGGAGGAGAAAATAATCGTCGAAGCACTGGGATGTCAAAATGATTTTGAATTGTCGTTTCTTTGTCTTCGTTTCCAATTTGGCTAACAGGAATTAGTTTGATATAGTTAAATTACACGAATACGGTGAATCATCGAACTGTGAGATACTTTTACAATCAAAATCTTGCGTAACCTCATGACTCGTGGAGCTAGAAGTTTCATCTGTCGTCCTGTCCACCATCTTGAAAAAAGAGTTATTCTAGAGTTATCAGAGTTCTAGAGTTATTAGAGTTAATCTAGAGTTATCAGAGTCCTTTTCAATGTTTCTGTAATTTTATAACACGTATATCACTTCAAAAGAAAGTTATATTTAATATTTGATAATAAAGAGCACTATTGTATTTCTATCTTTATAGATCCAAAAATAAATTAGCGATATATTTTAGTTTTCCTCCAGACACGAAAGTATTATTTATACCAAAAAATAATTTGCCTTTAAAATTGATTTTCAAGTATGTTTACGCTAAATTTGACCATGAATAAAAAGATCCGCTTCCAGGTGTCTTATTTCCAAGGGTTGATGTCCCTGATCCTGTTTAAGTAGTCATTTCGTATTGCATCAATCTTTCGTCGTTTACTTAATAATATAATTATACATCGAATGATTACAAAGATTAGGGACCAAGGGAGACGCTCAATTATTCGAGGGCATCCAGTATGCTGTCAAGGGTCCGTTCAAACGAATCGACCGAGATATGACGTCTCTCTTACAAACAGCGAAGGACGACACGATATAATTGCGTGTTTCCGTTTCAGGGTACTGGGGATACCATAGGCAGGGTTCGTGTCAAGCTGGATTGGGCGCTTCTATGTCCAAGGTAAGGCCAAAGGCAAAATACAATAAGAAATCTTACTAATATTATAACTAGACTACAGATTTTAAGTATTCACTACATACACGATTGTTTACAGATCAGTGCATTAAAAAGTTTAATAAATCGTGATCAAGTGTCCATATTGTTTGGAACCTGATCGAATCTGTAATAAGATAAATATGATCTTATTTGACTTCAGTTTTAACAAATTACTTCAGAAAAATCTGTATTTGCATAAATTTCCGTAGTCTATTAATAACTTACAAGTCTGAAACATAAACTTCTTCCCCTTTTAAATTCATCTTAGTTCAAGACAGTTTATAATTATGGTTAAAAAAATTTTGTAATTATTATTGAATTCGGAGGTTTGTATTGTTACTGTTATTTCAATGTTTATGGTACAACTTCAATTGACAGTAAGTAGCATAATAATAGCACCCAAATTCCGAAACAATAACGAAAAATAATATTCAGTTATTCAAAATGAGCCCGTGTTAGATTGTTCATCTTTGAGGCGGGTGGTCTGTAGTTAACTGTTTAACTCTCGGAAGGTGAACGTTGTTGATGATCGAATAGATCACGCTCCAGAGTCCTGATGGACCCCTACTCACCCATCTTTAGACATGTTCCAAAAAGAATTTATATACACATACTGACCTCATAAAATGCTAACATAAACAACTGTACACATGCATCAGTGTTCTGAAATGGTGTATAAAGTTTCTGGTATCCTACGTCTAAATGGACCCACACACCATCATCCAAAGGTTAAGGGGTCATCAGTCGAAGGGCCGAAAAAAGAGTGTTCTTTGGGAATTTTTTTCTCGATAATTATAAGACCTTTTTCAAAAAATGTGTCTGTGTTTCAAAGATTGCAGTTTCTCGATTATAAAGTAATTTTTTGATTTAAAAATATTTATTAGTAAATAAATGGTGAGCGATCTCCCGGATGTCTGTTCACAAAAAGTGGTCTGCCGTGATCACTGTAACTTCGTAACGGTTCATCTGAAATTAAAAATTCAGTAAGATTTATATAATGGAAGAACCAATCTTACCCTTGAACGTGGGGTTTTTCGAAATATTGATCAGGGACAAAATAGCGGACGTTTGCCTGAAAAAGTGCGATTTTCACCTAAAAATCACTCGTTTCTGGTCAATTAAAAAAAAACTATGGAACGAACAAAAGAATCCTTCGTTCAAGGACAGATTTTTCTGATTTCAAATAAGGCGCAAAAGGCTCCATGTAAATCGACACAGTAGTTTTCGAGAAATATTGATCACCGATTTGAAAAATGTAGTTTCGAGAAAAACGCGTTTAAAGTCTCAAGTCAAGCTTACACATATATAAAATATTCATTTTTTAACGCCTGTAACTCTGTCATTTTTAATTGGATTACCTTGAAACTTGCACAGAATATTCTCGAGACGTTGTACTTAAAGAAAATGTAGAAAGTGAAAAATCGATTTTTTGAAAATTTCTGACCGAGCATGACCCCTTAAGTATGCCCATAAAGAGGCTCATCAGTTTCCTCCCGAAACACCCTGCATACCGATCACCCGTGCAACAGCCGACAAAATCGGGAGGATGGGGTTTACGATTAAAATTCAGACTTGAACTATTGAAGTCAACGAGAGAGGGCCAAATACGAGCTTTCGTTTGGTCTCGGTCTAACCGTGTTTATACACAGAAGGATATATATACGGTAACTCCACGTGTTCGCGGGTTTCTGAAAGAGTTAAGAGCCGACACGAGGGGTCGGCCGAGAGCCGAATATGGCCAGGAATGTGAATTCCTACCTTACGCACCTCCAGACCGGGGACATTCGTATTCGTGGTGCATGCCGAGGTCTATAGGAGGCGGTCAGGCGGCCGACTCTCTCGTGTATATACGATTGTCTTGTCGAAAGCTCGATTTTCTGGCCTGTCGGCAGATCCTGAGGGCCGATCGGCACCCGAGAACCGTAGGCGTCGGTGGGACCCCGTTCTTTTTTTCACTCGATTTCTTCGAAATGCATCTCCAGTGCCGCGCGAGCACACCTAAAGAAACCCCATAGGACGGTTTCCTTGCACCTGCACGATCTACCCATTTGATACCTTCTTCGCATTGGAGCTCCCTTGGTGCGATAAGTATTAGGGCCAATAGGTACAAATTCGAAATTGGTATGTTAGCGTGTTATTCCAGCGGTCCTTTCCGGAGGGAAAGGGTGCGGCGTGTACGTGAAACGTATGAGGAATGGGGTTTCGGGGCACCGGACGCTGGGACGATGGAACACTCTGTTTCCGGCGACGAGTCAATTTTATGGTCGGGATCGTGCGGTGGCTTTGGGAATGGGAGAAATTGTCCTTTAGAAGATTTAGAAATATCGTGGTTTGTTCAAAGAATTTGAAGTTAGTGGTTTTTTTATATTAGATAGGTTGTGTAGCTGTTAACTATAGAGTAGAGACAGGGTCCTTTTTGATTTAGGGGTCATTCCTTGCGAAATCGGATCTGAATTCCACTGATATCAAATTTGGATATGTTGTCGTCCAGAGATGGGCAAACTCATTATCTAGATAAAAAGTTTGAAATAACGAATGAAAGATAAAAGAAATATTTTGTTAGTTTTAATTGTTTAAACGTGGAAATGTCAATTTTTATAATAAAAATAATACTTCTTTATGAATGAATCAACATTTGTCGAACAATTATTTAAGCTCATTAACTGTTTAAAGCTCAGAACGCCACCCTCAGATACTGCTCCTCTTTACTGCGTATTATTCGAATAAAAGTCTGCCCAACTCTGTTGTAGTCTTTGGCGATATATAAACGTGTCTCGAAGAATTTTTGAAAATTGTTGATTTTACAGCTGTTTGAAATTTCGGGTCAACCTTTTTTGAATAAATCATAACTATTGAACTAACAAACTGATGAAAATGAGCTTTATGGGTACTTCCAGTGGAGACACAAGAGTACCCAATAAAAATGATTTCAGTTAAAAGAAAATTATTTTTTAACCATTTATTTTGCAAGTGTTTTAAATGAATGCCCTGTTTGTATACCGCGGAACTATTTAAAAATTTGAAAAAATTGAGGATATACCCCTATTTGTCATCTTTATGGACATATCTTCAAAAATATGAACACTTTAAAATTGACCGCATGAAAATTAATTGAAGTGAACGCTGTATCGATTCATGCCAAAATAAAGTACTAAAATGAATTGTTAAAAATCTTCTATATTTATGTATAAATAACATAAAAGTTCAGGAGTCTTGTAAATTCACCCCGGACTTTACGTCCTGAAAATGGTTCCTCGGTACTGAAAATTTAAATATTTCCATATACCGTAATTTAAACATCTATGTATGTTATAAATACGTAAATTCCACAGTCTACCGATGACTGTTTAATCGGTACCATACAGAAATAAGTCTCACCACACCAATAAAAGGTTTAAATCTTCTTTTTCTCTAAATTTGATTTACTTAAAAAATATTTTTTTCCATCCTAATAATTTACCAGTAAAAATGAAAACTTATTGAATTAAAAGATAAACCAAAAGCCTACTGCCGCCTTTTAACCCTCCTACAAAGAATGCAGGGTTATTTTGACCCATCTGTAGCTATTGTCATATTCTTTGCAGTTATATGTAAATGTAATAATTATATTAACTTGAAGATATGCATAAAATTTTATCTATATTTTTTGCACTTATATGTAAATGTAATATATGAACTTAAAGAAATAATGTACATAAATTTTTATCCATAATTTTAGCCATATTCTCTGCAACTATATGTAAATGTAATACATGAACTTGAAGATGTACATAAATTTTTTCCATAATCCTCTTAAACACCCTCTTCAAGCCTGTGTACAATGAAAATTCTACTATGGCTCAAAATGACTCTGCATTCGTCTGCCGTGTCCGTCCTAGACCATCCGCCTTCCGAGGGTTAAAATTCAAAAAAAAGGACTATCGTATTCACAGTCCATGTCCTAGAGGGTTAATAAGCTCTTTGAGTATTGAAACATATAATCTATAGAAATGTTAATTTGCCATAATACAGTAAATCTTCCATGAGCGTTCGAAGGCTCCTTGGCACTGAACATTAAATATTTCATAAACTAATGGTAATATGCGGCTAAAACAAATATCATTGTCGTCGGACTTCCAAGCTCTATCACTGTGCTAAACCTCATTGAAAAGTCAACCGTAAACCTGAGGACCTCCCCTTGTCAGTACCGAGGAGCCTTCGAACACTCATCGAGGATTTACTGTAGTCCCCAAAATTTGCCATAATAATCGTTAAAAACAAAAATTGTTTAATAATTTCGCTTATTGTTTATCTGACCTATCCTTTACTGACGATTTCTCATGCAAATGAGAATTTTTGCTCATCCCTGGTCCTCCGCGTGAATCTCAATCCGTAGGCGAGAGTAGCGTTATCGCGCTACGGGACAGCTTCGATTGTCGGCAAAGAAATAGTGGCACAATTCCGCGGCCACTCAGCCGGCTATCTTGCCACGGATGTATAATTCAGAATTGTCCAGCTATATGGCAGATGTGGCATTCAATGTTAAATACCCCATCCCCGCGCCCGAAACGGTCAATCCGTGGCCTTTACCCACGGTCCACACGAGTCCGTGAAACGACTGGTGGACGCAATGATTTTAGGCAAATTCGATTCTTGCTCGCGCCCCGACTCCGATGCCGCTCACCATTCCCCACTCGTCTTTATCCGTCGTTTTCAGAGTCGTGATCAAAACCAAATTTCTTTTATCCTCCAGAAAATTCGCGTCAACTTATCATTAAGATTTATTACCATAGAAGATTTGTTTCGTGAATTTAGTTATTCTTAAGACCCTTTCGTGTCATCAATCTCACAAGGGAAGGCACGGAAGTGCCCCCCTACGATTTTGATGAAACTTCGCATGTCTGTTAAGCAGTCAAAAATAAAGGATACGTATTTTTTTTATCGGCTGAGACGCGATTTTAAGGGGTGAAACCACCCCTCGAAGT